CCAGCTTGTTTTTTTAGCTCTACATTGAACATTTACATTTACATTTAACATTTACATTTAACATTTTACATTTACATTTAACATTTACATTTAGATATAACATTTTACATTTACATTTTACATTTATATTATTTAACAACTTTGTGTTACTGCCAAATATTATCCTTGGAAAAGTCATTGCATGAATTTACATGAATTTCTCTCTAAATGTTTGAAAAAGTGACATGAATATTGTCGTACTTTTTTGTTCATATGATAATGCTAAATGTAGCAAAACTGCGCAGGATTTTACAACGTGCAACATTTTACAAACGGCGCCCCATAGCATGTTGATCAGAACGTTGACGGCAAACAGTGCTGTTGCTCTCAGATGACGAGGAAGTTATGAGGGAGAAAAGGGATGGAAGAAAAATGAGCGTTGCTGAAGAAACCAGCTGTGTTATTGTTGAACTATGAGCTCCCCGTCCTGTCCTCTGACCTACTGAGCCTTTCATTGTTGTCATTTTTTGGAAGAAGATTGCTCAATTGTCTCGCTGCCATGTGTTTTATGTTCACTTCTGTAGCACCACATGTATTTCTTGTCTGCCACCAGTGGACGTCCCAGCAAACCCCAAACACATTCGGTATGAAATATGAAATAGCAGTGTCGTATTAGATTCAAGATTAAAACAAATTTCCAATTTTATCAGTGTTGGGAAATGATGATATGAATATATTTGTTGCAGCCAAATGCCACCAATCCATACAAATCTACTCCGGAACCATCACTTTGCTTTCTGCCTTTGTGATCACAGATGCACACATACTTCTTAGGTGTCTGATGCACACTGCGTTAGCTCAGACATTAACACACATACATGTTTTAAAGTGGTTGCATATCTTGTTTGTGAAAGTGTGAACGGTACTGACAATGTGCTGAAGACGTACTATTCAGACTGAGATATTAAAATGTATATATCACTTGTACTGTCTGCAGACAGACTGCATTGTCTTTTCTCTAAAGAATGTACTAGACCTCAAGATCAAAAACAGAAAGCAGGCCGATGCATTTGCAAAATCCCCCTGCTGGTTTTGGTTGTCTTGTCCAATTTATCATCCAGAACACCTCTGTCCCGGTGAGGAGGAAAATGCAATGCACACAAGGTTTGCTCCCTCTGTGTTGTCGTTGGTGACATCATCCGTGTAATGAAGGCCCACGCTGAACTTCGTTACAGAGGAATGAGTGTTTCTCGTAGTGTCAGAGAACAATCGGAGCAAAGGCACCACGTGTTTGCTCTCAGCAGCTCGGGTACGAGAGCGTCCTGGTGTCCTGGCGTGACCGCGGCCACAGCGTTTTTAAAATACACACTGTGGAAATGCTCGTCTACAACATCTTCTTCTGCACGCTGCAACTATTTTTGTTTGCGGGAAACTATTTTTGTTGCTGGCCGTGTTCCAGAGCTCTATATGTGCACAGATGGATGTGTCATACCTGCACACATGCAACGCCACAGATTTGGCTGCTGTCATCTTACTATTTATTGTAGGGGAAATGATCGTAATCAGTTGTTCCTAAGGAGGATGTTTGGTTTGGTTGTATATGTAATCTTTTTGTTATTTCTGATAAACCTCACAGGTCTGTAATATGAGCCCAAACCCCGCAGGTGTCACGGGGTGGACGATTGGGGACAATTGATTGCATGCTTAATTGATTACATATTTTATTGATTGCATATTTTATTGATTTATGATTGCATGTTTTACGACTTGTTGATTTGTGATTGCATGTTGGACAATCTATCGTGTGCTTTGGGTTTTGTTTGAATTGTGTCCTCAATTGACAATCGTCCCCAACAAATTAGCAATAAGTGGCATATTGACCAATGGGGAAAGGCCAGGGGCGGAACTTTGTCTTTTGAAGCAGGAAGACGGGACACTGGCAGTGGAGAAAGGAGGAGAAACGAGAGAAGCAGGCAGAAGCACCACCAGTAGCAGCAGACGCATCACTAGCAGCAGCAGCAGCACCACCACCACCACCAGAAGCAGCAGAAGCAGCAGCAGCAGCACCACCACCACCACCACCAGAAGCAGCAGCAGCAGCAGCAGCAGCAGCACCACCACCACCACCACCAGAAGCAGCAGCAGCAGCAGGCGCCGAGGGCAACTGGCAGTCAGACGTCCGAACCAGTGAACCAGGGACGCGCAGGACTTCGCTCCTCCTGTGGTGATGAGCCTGGATGGACTATTTTAGCTCCCTTTTTATATAGTTTAATCTTTTGTATTAAAATAAATATTCTATTAGTCGTATTTCCGCCCCTGTCTCTTCTTGGGTCATTGTTTTACTGCTCCCCTCCAAACAAACAAACCTTTGTTTTTAATTATTTCGAGGTCCTAGGGCTTTTACCCAGGTGGCGTTGTTGGCAACACACTTTTTTAGTTTTTAAGAAGAACCTCGGCCGCTGACACAGGCATAATGTTCCACATGTGCAAAAAAATGCACAAAGCTTGAATTCATACAGTTTCTCCTTTTGAAGAAGCTTGATGTTTCAACCATTTATTTATTTGTTTACTCTGACCTCTCTGCTCATTTGGGCAGTTTCATGTGTTGTTTCAGCTGACTCAGGAAGGTATTACCTGGGAAGTCGGCCCCTGATGTCAAGTTACTTTAATGAGATGTCATAACAATCCGCCTCACACAGCGTTGTTATCCTATTCGTATGGTCATTTCCCTCCTAAATACGCATGTGGCCAAACGTATGCATTGACTGTTTTGGCAGTCAAGGGGAGAATCATTAAAATTTTTATAATTATGATTTAACTATAATACAATATTTCCATGTACCTGCTTGACCGCAGAAGTATGAGGCCTCACATGCCTGTATGGGAATCACGCGTGTATTACAATCCAGTATTTTGTATTCTAAATAAATCAGAAGCTTTGTGTAACAGTGTTTGTTCCTGATGTCTTCACACCTTGGTCTAATAGTAACCCCTGCTTTTTAAGGATAGAACAGTGCTGTGAATAGGACAAGTGAAAAGTGTTGAAGCTGAGGTTTTGTTGTAAATGCTGCAATATCTACGCAATAATTCATTTATCCCTTTGACTGTGTGACTGCAATGAAGTGACTGATGGTGTGTTTGTGTTGCTCTCATATTGATGTGGGTCTTGAAATGCACAACGTGACCATTTGAGGGAGATTGTCGACATCGTTGTTGTCTCTGCTGGGCCCTGAGGAAAAAGCCATTTGCAGAAAATTTCCTAACAATCAGCAATCAAAGGAGGAAATGACACGGTTCCAGCGTGTGGCTGATGAGAGCGGGAGAGGAATCATTAAGCGACACATAGGCTGTCTAAATAGGGCAGAGCTAGTTGACATGCAGGGTTGAAATGAAAAAGTTTACACCTATTGTAATGGCTTGTGTGAGTCTTCGGGTTCTCCTCAGTGGACGTGCAAGAAACATTTAGGATGCATGACGGGGCACAATACAATTACATCTTTATGTCAATCAGAATCTCTTTTTGTGTCTATTCATTTTCATTCTGCCACAAACGTTCACGATCACACAATGCTCTTCCCCTCTCTCTCTCTCTCTCTCTCTCTCTCTCTCCATCTGCTCACTCTTTGAGGTGATGTATTTTTCATCCAGTCTCTGTGATGTGGCTTGTAGAGTTTTGTTTTCTCATAATCACACAGTACGGAAACGTCAGCTCAATCATCAGCCAGCCTAATATGCATGGCCAATTTAATTTCACACTCATTTCACTTTTACAAAACAAATTTGTCTCACACACTCAGGCACGTACAGATAAAGATCACTTCCCCTCTTCTGCCTTAAAGCACAAATTCTAAAGTACTCTGGCAGTCGAGCCAAAACAAACGGAAATTTACTACAGTAAACAGTACTACAAAAGTTATGTTAACAAATAAAGTACTTGAAGTCTGAGAACCAGACTGATAGAAAAGTGTGTCTGTGTTAGGAGTCGAGATGATTCCCCTGCAGAACATAAACACACTGAAAGGAGAGGCGGACTTCTGCTCTGAAGAGACGTAGATTGAGTTTCGTGAAAAGGCGACACAAAGGTGTGTCATAAATAAGAGAAGGGATTTCTCTTTGTGGACCAAACGTGTTTGGTCTGGAACCATCACAGCTGATTTATTTTTGTATATGTAACTGGATTGAGCTCTAACCGATCTGCTTCGGCTTGGTGCACATGCTTGGTTGGAGACAAGTGAGTGACTGGCCTTAATAGCATTTAATCCATTTCACAACATGAAGCAGCCGACTTTATACATAGCCAAGAAACGCTGCAAATGGATTCGCCTTTGAGGGTGCTGATGCCATAAGGTACGATCTTGTGTGCTCTTACATTTTCCACAAGAAGCACACGTTATTGTTAATTTGCTTTTACTGCCATAGAAAATAATAGCGATTGTGAAAATGACAATTAAAGACTGCGCGCTCTTCAACGTGTATCCTTTTCAGGGTTTCTTTCCTCTGTTTCACTCTCTCAGATTTACATTTCCAGTATTGTGTGTGACTAGCTTTTGACTGGCTTTGAGGGAGGAGATCGGGGGGAAGAGAGGCTGGATACACAGGACGGATTTACAAAGACTCTTTAGTGAGCGTCGGATGCGTGAATTCAAAAGCTCAATGGTAATGTGTAACGTGCGAGTGATTGAAGGCCACAGAAAAGCTTCACAGTGGTTTATTAAATAGCTCCATCTAAGGGCCAGCAGGTAGAAATGTCATTTTATTTCACTCAGGTCTGTTTTCCTCTCAGATGCTGAAAAATCAATTGTTCTGTATTAAATAATCAGCAACTCAGCACTCATCCATTGTGTTGTTTGGCCCTGGTCTTTGTTCCTAGACTAAAGATAATGCCAGATGGCTATGAATTCAAAATAAGGGCAAAGGTTTAGGTGCCAATGGACCTTGAGGTTGCCTTGAACAACAAGCATTCATATAAAGTAGATGCTCTTCCACACTTTGCACCGGGGGGAAGGTCAATGGCGGCACTCAGGGTTCGGTAGCCAAGAAACAGATGCATGTGACCAGCTCACATTGGGCGCCGTCCACCGTGCAAATGAAGCCACATGTTGGCTTTTTGCGTTCTTCCTAAACAGCGGCTGCACACTGGATGATGATGGTGTAAATATTAATAATAACGTCATTTTAAGTGCAAGCTCTCGGATCCCCGTTTCCAACGGACAGACAAAGGGAGCCTACTGAATTGCACTCACGCAACAACACAACTTTCTCCCCACACGTCCTTTGTAGGTCTTTGTGGCACTTCTCCATCCGGCAGACAGGCCCTCGGTTGCCAGGTAACCGCATGAAACACTTCCAGCTCCTGTTAGCCAGCGAAGATAAAAGGTTCCCTTCAATTACCGAGGGACCATGAGGTAATATCATTCATTCCTTTTGTATCTGAGAGCGAATGTGACATTAAAAGGGTACGCTGGGTAATCGGGTTGTTAAACACAGCGGGTAACGTTTATATTTAGCGTTAGCCTAAACGTTAGCTTAAGTTAACCCAGCAAATCAAGTTAAACTATTAATATGTAACTATTTCTCAAGTTATTACCCGAAAAGCGATCATAACCGAGTGACCTCTTTGACAAAATGATCACTTTCTGTGATTTTAATCCTTGTGATAACTGTACCAACAATAATTTGTAATAAATGCAGTGATATTTCCATCTCATCTCCAGCTTGTACTTGAGTAAATTATATTTCACCAACAGCCATCGAGAAAGAAAGACTCCTCACAAGAAGTATAACTCAAAGCTTCAGCAACACAAGTCACCTGTTGCCGCCTGTCTGCCTTCTCACCTTTTCGTCTCTTCTCATTTCTCAATATGGCTCCAGCGTGCAGGAAGAGGGGCCCCGACACTACACCCTGCAGCACGGAGCGGCCCGGGTGATCCAGAGGACCTGGAGGAGCCACGTGGTGGGTGCCTTTGCTGCTGCTGCTGCTGCTGCTGACACAAAAGCACAAAACAAAGCGCACCATCAAACTCATGTTCCTTCCCAAACTGTAGAACAGAGAGGTCTTCAAATATTTCAAAGAGCTTATCAGCCATTGCAACCAGCAGGATCCCCGAGGGATCCTAAAAACGGTCAATCCTCGAGAGGTAACGAAATGTGCTGCTCTGTATTTTAGGAAACCAGCGACTGAGATGAATGTAACTGTTGATTTCCCCACTGTAGGCACAGCTGATGGACGCTGCCGCAGGCGTCTTCATACGAATCCGACTCGGAGGGGTAGGAGCTAAATAATAGTAAACCACGGCTTTATGAAGATGATAGTGCACACATACCTCCTTACACCTTGCTAATGCCTGTTTCCTTCAGACTACCTTTCCTCCCAACGTCTATTACAAGATCTTCACCCACGCTCCCATCGTGGACTTGTGTGCCAGCAGCCCAAAGGACTACACCAAGCCGGACCTCCAGAAGCACGCCGACAATGGCCGGCCTCTGATGCAGGACCGCTCAGGATGGTACCAGCGCACGGAGAACAACGACTGGAGGCTGTTCTGTAGGAAGGTGAAAAACAGACACACGAGAATATGCGTTGTGGGGAAACGTAATGCCCTCGCAAACCGCTTACTTAACAAAAAACAAAGACAGATACGAATGCTCTTGTCAGCCACTGAAATCCGATGTTTTAAAGTCAGTTGCATGTGCTTCCTCTTCTGTCTTAACAGGTGGTTCCCACAAATGAGCCCAAAGAGATTGGCGCTAGCAAGAAAATGGATTTCCACTATTCCAGGTTGCAGCGGCAGAAAGATGTAGCTAAGTGGAGGAAGAAGAGGAAAATTGAATGGCTGACGCAGATGTGAGTTTTATTTCGTTTTATGTGTCTGTCCGGCCACTGTGGCCTCAAATGGTGAATCCAGGAAAACAGCAAAGTCTAACTTCAGTCCGTCTCTCTCGCATAAATAAGCATAAAACTCTCTGCAAGGCAAATGCCTGATGAACAAACCACTGCACAAATGAACGTGGGTTATGTCCAGCCTCGCGTCTGATGGTGTCCGTGTTCTCTCTGTGACCTACAGGTACAACCAGGGCCGTCTGCAGACTCAGCCGGTACAACAGCACGTAGTGACGCTGTTGGTGGATTATGTCCAGCAGGCGATGGAGGCCGTTGAAGAGAGGCGACACGAGGAGGTTCTGGACAAGAAGCTGGACGAGCTGATGGCCTGGACCAACGCTCTCAACTTTGAGGAGTAAGAGGCCACTCGCCGCTGTCAGCAACATTGTGATGCTCTCTGTTGAGTAGACCGCTTTGATTCAAACCGGCTCAAAATTGATCAAATCTTTATCGACTTGAAACATGGTTTGTTTTTTGTAACGTGCAGGTACATGCAGGATTGGAGGTGTCTGGGCTGCACTCACTCCTCTCAGCCGAGCACAGGTGAGCGACGGCAGTGATGGCAGCGCCTCTTTGACACGACAGAAATGACTTGCTAGTCATGGCTTTAAAGTGCATGCTGTAATGCCACCTTCTGTTTAAATGTAGTACTAACTCTTTCCCTTTGCTTGTATCTCACCAGTCGTAACTGATATGCTCCCCTTTTGTTCTGCTTTTCTTTCTCTCCCTCTCTTCCTTCCATTGTCGCTTACAGATGTTCATTCATATCCACCAGAGTAGACCCACAGGAGTTTTCCGCTCAGGCAGATGACGGGTTGGTCTTAGGTAGAAACTGAATAAAATAACCTGTCCCAAAACTCTCTGCGTGTTAATGTGCTAATTTTGCAGTTATACACAATACGGCTTTTTAGGAGGAGCTGAAAGACAGGACATACAAACGTTTATTTATAATATAAGTTGTTGTCAATACAGTAACACCGTTTTTGGTGATGTGTCTTATTGTGTGGGTTAAATGGACTTTATTAAAATAATGATTTTGAATGTGGGAGGAACCACTCTGATCCACAATCTGCAAATCTATTGTTGAGTCTCTGACATCTAACTGGAAAAAAATGATTACAAGTGGACACATGAGGCCCCCGCAGAATAGATTTATCTCAAGACCCGTGGGTGTAATTCAAAGGTTTTTAGCCAAAAAGATGAATTTGAGAAAAGGCTTCATCACGTGAGTCCTGGACTGGGATCATGTGTATAAAATGAATCCTTAATAGCCATAAATACAGATCCTGTGTAGAGGTTCAGTAACTGTGGAGAACCAAAAATATAGACATTTGCAATCCACATGTTCGCACACTTAATTACTCATATCCAGTTTGCAAATTAACATTAACAAAGTCTTCTGTCTAACAATAAACATAATAGAAAAGACTGTTTAGCAACAGTTAGAAAAGAGGGGGCACCCGGATTTGAACCGGGGACCTCTTGATCTGCAGTCAAATGCTCTACCACTGAGCTATACCCCCGTTCCTATCGTCTGTGCAAGAGATACAATTAATACATTATTTACTACGTCTGCCTACAGAATATCTTTTTATGGTGGTGTTAAAGGGTTATGGAATGCTTAGACACAGCAGAACAATCATGCGTACGGCGCACGGACGCATAATACAACGGGCTTCTAAATATCGAATTGTACACGACGTAGATTTGTACCGGATGTTTCGCATAGAAAATGCGACTCAACCGGATGTTCGAGTGTTTCGAACAGAAAGTGCAAGGGACGGAATCACAATGGTACTGTCTTATCGCATCTCATGTAATACGGCGTAGGGTAACGTAATATCGACTATGGTATTGTTTTCGTAGCTATATATGTGCATTTAACTCAACTGCTCCCATCTGTGTCTGTCAGTGAATCCTCTGAAGTCCAGTGTCACTGCTTACGAATTTGATTAGTCACTCAAGCTAACGCTAGTTAGCATTGAGCTACGATGGCTCCTTAAACTGAGTGTAGCTAGTGATATCTGTGACTGGGTGGAAGTGGACGTGATGCTGAACGGGCGTCGTGGTTTTGTTTCAGAACTCTCGAGGACTTCGCTCTCAGCTGAAGGACAGTGTCCCCGTGGCGGGCTTGTGTCCGCAGGGCGCCTACGGGATACAGGACTGTCTGCGCAGCGGGTGAGAGACGTCAGACAACACGACCCGGTGCTTCGTGCGATACGGACACAACGGGCCTGGTTTTATTTGTATATGCGAGACTTTCACACGGTTAACGTTTAAAACACGATCCGACCGAATGTCTTTATCAGCTGTAACATGAATCCATCAGTGTTTATTAGAAAAATACATTGGGGGTGAAAAGGAACACACGTGTACCTGGTTATTCATTGTATTTAGTATTTAAAGGCAGTGTCGATGTTGGAAATCTAGAAACAATATTACCGTTTAGTCCAGTAAAATCTCCTCCAGCACTCTATTTGATATTAACACGTGCGTAATGTTGTATAGTTTTTAGTTCCAGAAACTCATTGTTGATCTCACACTCACACACACTGTCTGTCCACACATCTTCCCAATAACCTGCAAAAAACAACAAGAAAATGACTAATTTTTTGCAAATACGGTGGACAATCATAATGACGGTGATGTATTTTCTCCAACAGCTCAGTCTGTGAAGACAAGTGTTCACTGCTGTTGTACGAGCTCATTTTCGCCGGCTTCTAATGCTTTTCATTTGACACACAGCTTTTCCAGTGTAAAGAATGAGCTTCTCCCGAGTCACCCGCTGGAGCTGTCAGAGAAAAATGTGAGTGGAAAAAAAGCATTCTGCCACGGTTCGTTTTGGGGGGATATGAGTCACGAGAAACTGTACATTATGGTCTTTTAATTAATTAGTTACCCGAAATCTCACTTTTGCTTTGTGCGGCCTTCCTTTTGAGGTCATGTTAACTACGGTTGGTAAAGTCTTAGAACTCCGGCTATCTGTCAAAACTCACCACACTGACAAACACAAGCTAATGACATCCGGTGCTTCCCGCTCTCCATTGGGTTTTATTTTTTATTTATTTATTGTTGGGCCGCTCCTGACGCTTCGCGATTATTCAATGCCAAATCCCTTTGATCCGAACCACACAAGAGCCCCTCGCTTCATTTGTTTATGGCCGATCAGTAGCCAAATGAACACGGTAAAGTCTGATGGTGGAATTTGGAGTTGTCGTTACGGGGTACTCAACACAAGCATGTGTGTTTTTGTGGTGTGCAGTTCCAGCCAAACAAGGACAAGATGAACTTCTCTACACTCAGAAACATCCAGGGTCTCCACGCTCCGCTGAAACTGCAGATGGAGTACAGGGCAGCTAGACAGGTAACACACATACACACACACACACACACACACACACACACACACACACACCGAGGAGCAGCACGTTCAGGTCATCCACCTCCTCCACCTTCCTGCTTGAGCTCCTCTCCCTGTTTATTGTCTGTAAGTCACTCTTCTCTCTCTTACTCTTGGGGTCGGACTCTCCTCCTCCTCGCAGATCCAGCGTCTGCCGTTCTTACCGAGCTCAAACTTGGCCCTGGACACGCTGCGAGGCAACGACGAGTCCATCGGCTTTGAGGACATCCTCTGCGGTGAGAACGACGCCCTCTCGCCCTCACGTAACCATTGGCATTACTGCATATGATGTCTAACCACCTGGTCTCACTCTGCAGATCCAGCCCAGAGTGAAATGATGGGTGAGCCACACCTGATGGTGGAATACAATCTGGGACTGTTGTGAAGGAAGACGGACACATAATACACCGCTACACACGGCTTCATTATTTGTCTGCATAAGTTTTGTTTTTCTGCTTTATAAAGTTCAAGTTAAAACAGGCATTCCGCTCTGTTTTTGTATGATTCCAATCCAGTTGGTATTTCTAATAAACTTCTTCACCTTCCTCCTAGAAATTGGTCCATTTGAAACATCATTTAACTTGCATACACAAGTTTGCAACTGGGTGTTTATAATATACTTTGTGATACAAATGGGTACATTCTCAAGTAAAATTGCTGTGGATCGGTGGTATAATTTGTCGATGTAAATCCTAAAGCTGTAGTATAGATGTCAACAGAAGTCAGTTTATTAAGTCTTAATACGGTCAAGTTGGTAGGCCGAAGACGGTCATAACAATGTATTTAAAACCTAAAAAAAATGCTTTGGGCATAAAAACAATCGGAGGAGTGGTTAACATGTGAATCGTGTAAAAACATGGTTATTGTTACATAATAAAACATTTATTCTAGATCATTACCAGCAAATATTGTATTACAAATCCAGACATCAATCTGAAAAACTAAAAACATTCTAAAGGTCGCATGGGTTTGTAAACCCTCTGACTCCACATAATTACCGCACATGCTCCATAAGAAAGAATGTCCATGTCCTGTTTATTTAAGTGTTTTATTTGACGTTCGATCAGGCTATATAGTTAACAGCATCATAATCATTGAACAGTGTTGTCAGACGTAATGCGACTTAATCGTAGTGCTAATATTTGTCAGTGTTTAACTCTTACGACTTGAGTGCAACCTACAGAGTGAAAGAACTACCGAAGACGGATGCAGGTCAGAAAGTTAGTGTCCTTCAACTTGAACGTTTTATTAGAAGAAAAAAGCCCGTGGTGCTTGGTTAAGGACCTTGTGGGGCAAAATCACCGCCGTTTCTCCAGCATCAACACACAAAATAACACAAACCTCGTTCCTAACGCCCACATTTAAAGGTGCTGACGAAATATATTTAAATGTGTCCGGTTATACAAGTTAAGCTTCTACTGTGGTTTGTTCGTACCCGACTATTCTCAACTGAGACGGGTCTTCTAAAGAGGTATGACGATAGTAACGCTGCGTTCTGAGGGAATACTGACAGAAACACGCTGCGCTGCGTCCCTGCTGGATCAGAGAGTCCGATTCGTCTCCATCCTGTGTGACGACATTTAGCTTGATCCTTCAAAGGCCAGGCCTCCGGATGGTTTATTGATTATTCTTCATAAACAACATAAATAAGACATAAATATTGCTGGCTCCAGGCCATTTACTAAAGTGTCACATTTGAACATGTGTATATTAAAAGGGCTTTTTTATTTTGTTAAGATTCAGATCCCAACTGGATGATTTATGATCCTAAAACTCATTTCAATTTTAAGATTCGGGTCAAATAAACAACTGCCATCTCTGTTTGCACTGCCGCTCCACTGCACACGGGGTCGTCTTTCACAGAGTATTTACAAGGCGAGTATTACAACTCACGTAAGGGAGCTGTGGTCCGTCCCTCTCAGGAGCGCCACATGGGAGACGTTTACCACGAGCGTCACAGAGAAGCACACAAAGTCGTCGTACCAAGCGGGAAAAAAACACTCAAATGAGTCGCTCTGTGCAGGTTGTGTAGAATCGAATGCGACTACTCTACAGGCCCCGTCTGGTCCGGAGAGCCAGAGGTGAGCGGCTGACATCTACACCACAGACGCGGCGGGGTGGGTCACATGATAGGGGGGGTTTCTGTGAGCACGGCGACAAGAAACGGTGGCTGGACCCGAGCGCCTGCGTCTGCGATGACTAAAAGATCAAATGCGAGGGATCTCGGGCGCGCCGACCACGCGCATCACCGCCCTTCATCTGAGCGGCCCTTTTCTCCGCACCGGGGGGGCCGTCCTCCTCCTGTGCGTGAACACGATGGGTGGGAATGTTCTGGCTGCGGTAGAGTCCATCGCACTCTTTCAGGGGGTCTTTTAGGTCTCTGGGTTGGGTGTGGCGAGCAGCGGCACGTTGTCCCTCCTCCTCCTGCCCAACGGCGGGCGCCTGTACTGCTCCCCGTCGGCCAGCGTCTGGGGCAGCGGCTTCCTCTTGCTCTCGGGCAGCAGGAGGATGGACAGCACGGCCAGCAGGGCCAGAGAGGAGTAGACCACGTGGTGCAGGAAGTAGCCGTAGTGGTTCCTCAGGTCCATGAGCGGGGAAGTGAGGCGGCCCACGCAGCCCAGGGACAGAACGGCGCCCACACCGGTGCCCCTGTGCAAGGTTCTCTTAGTTAGATATAAATCATTTAAATGTGTGGATAATATGTGTAAAAGCGCCGCTGTTTTCCTGAAGTATCAAACCGTGCATTTCTCTAAAAGTAATTTATTTTACCTTTGGAAAACGCTGAGCTAGCTGTTCCTGTATTCAAAACAATTCACGTCATTCTGATGTGTCAAATTGTGTTTCTCACGCTGAGCAGGCCCATCGTAACGGACACAAAACATTAACACGATAACCGCACATTTTCACAAAACTAAATACCGGGAAGACTTCCGTCTATGAGCATTGCTGTGTCGGGGTCACCTGATGATGGTGGGCATGATCTCTGCAGTGAAGAGGATGCACAGGGAGGCGGTGGCCTGGGAGGAGAAAAGACCCAGCACTGAGAAAACGGTGATGGCCGTCTCACTGAGATCTGAAGAGGGGAGAAGAAGAACGAGCTCCATGATGATGTATAAATACGCCCTGTTAATATGAACAGGCTGAGCGCTGAGTGGCCTCTGTTGCATGATTTAAGGAGAGCACCTGACACCAATTTGACTTTGCTGCCACTGCAGTGTCCTATATACTGAATATCATACTAAGTTTCACCCACAAGGGGGAGACGGACACCGAAGCAACCTAGATCAAAACGGCCCATGGAATGAGTTTTTCCATTAAAAACCGGTTCGCCTTTAATTGACTTCATTATGCATGAAGTCAGTGGTGTGTACGTGATCTAATACGACTAGAAAGCCGAGCTTCACATGAAATAAACTAACTTTTATTTTCCTTTGAGTCAGCGTTTGAGGTAGAAAGGCCGTTGGCTCACATAATGATTACATTGAAGAAAAGAACTGAAGCCTGCTCACACTTCATGAGTCCCAGGAGGATCAGAGAGGCCAGCCCCGTCATCGTCATGGAGAGGAGCAGGATGCCACGGCGACCGTACCTGTCCACGGTCGCCCAGAGCAACAGCCAGGCGCCCCCCCCTGCGCACACAGACAGCAGGTACGTCCAGTAGAAGCTGGGGGCCGTGCCTTTGACGTCACCCCGGAAAGAGCTGTAACAGTGACTAATGCCGTGGGAGATGAATCTGAAGGAGGACAAATAGAAAAGTGGTGGGAGAACATATGAGAATCAGTCGAAACACAGGAGGGGGGGGCTCAAGCGGCACCAACTGCTTAAAAGCGGTCAGTGGGATGACTTACGAGGTGAAGCCCAGCACACACAGGTTTTTCCAGATGTTCCTGCTGTAGAGGAGTTCATGGAAGGACAGGTGGGGGTGCGAGGAGGGGGCGGGCTCAGAATCCAGCTCTGCAGCGGGCAAACGGGACAAAACAGTCTTTATTGTGTTCACTGACCTGGATTCTCTTTTAAATCAATAACTCACAGTCAATTTCATTTTTCTAAGGAATCGTACACAGAGACACAAGTTACATCACTGGTTGTTATAATGTTGATACTGTAGCTGCAGCAGGTTAGATTGAAAATGTTTCACAATTCAACATTATGTAGACAATTTATGAACTATTTATAACATATAACTACATACACACTATGATATAGCTGTAAGCAGATATGTATTTTATGTATTTTACCGTGACCGCTGTCGTGCACTTTTAATGGAATTAATTAACTGTACACACGTTTTTTTAGGTTTGCTTTAACTGAACAAAAAGCAAGCAAGCCCTCAGAATCTAAACGCGCACACACACACACACACACAGACACACACACCTGTGAAGCTCTCGTCATCCCTCATATCTCTGTTGGAGTTTCTTCTCTCAGTGAAGGAGCTCATGTCTGCAGACCTCTCTGACAGGAGGAGCCAGCGAGGAGACTCGGGGAACACCCCGGGAACGCTGCAGAGGAGACGGGACATCCGTCGGGCCGCGTCTTAGTTTACACAACTGCAAATCATTGCTAGTCATCGACCTTTCATTTCTGTTGATTTGGGTTTGAACCTGAAGGCTCATCTTCTAAAGAGCTCTTGGAGGGACTGGGGACCTTAAACAAAGGAGCCCTAATGCATTCTGACGTGAACTCAAAGGCTCAGCGTGAGGACGGGAATCAATACGATCCACTAAAGCTTTCAGCTGGCATCAAGGCACTTTATGAAAAGGCTGTAAGCTTCCGTGAGTGTCTTGCCACTGCAGCTTCACAGGAAATGAAACACATGAACAGACTGTACACAGTAAACAGATACCAAGAATCTTCCACATACGAACAGAAACTACTGCGGGAATCAATAACACAAAGCTGAATCTGTAATATGGAAACCAGATGCTTAGAAACAAATCAGCACGCGCACACTCGTACCCGTAACAGAGGAACAGTGTGAGTGGGGCGGCTCCGGCTCCCAGCAGGCCCCTCCAGGACTGGCACCCCAGGGCAACGGCCAGAAGAAGAAGCTCCCCGGCTACAGTCATCAGCCCGGCCATCATGGTCACCAGCAGCCTCAGAGAGGACTCGCACAGCTCCAGACCTGCCCGTCAAACGCCACGCCGCAAAGAACGTCAGCGTCGGTGCATCGCCGCGACAACCTCCGGTCTCAAACTGAGATCAAACTACTCACGAGTGATGTAGAGGGTGAGGTAGACTCCCGCGCTGGCCGCCGCCAAGCAGAAGCGCATGACGATGAAGATGGAGGGATACGGGGAGACGCACACCAGCACACCAAACACCACCGACAGGGTCAGAGAGGTCAGCAGAGTCTTGGACCGGCCCAGTCTGCAGGGAAATACATGGAACTACATGAGGCACCTCGCATGTATTATGACAGAATACAACAGCAATAGACGAGGAAGTAAATCCTAATTATTCAAGAGCCAAAACACGGGCCGTTTAAATATTAACAGCAATTGGCAAAACAGAAACTAGGACAACGGCCCACTGTGAATATAAGAGAGGAGATACAATGGAGGAACACTTACCATTAATATATTTAACACAGTAACATAATTCACAAATAGTTCACACAAATTACACTATAATTATAAGGCTGGACTAGTGACATTTTATTTACGTTTTAAATAAATTCTAAAGGACCTGCAGTAACTCGCAGAAAGAGGTCTTGCCTAAACAAAGACATGAATAGATAGCTGATTAAACTGGCCTCCTCTCCAACACTACGGCTTCCCCCCGCGTGATGCTCCGACGAGGCTGGATCCATTAAGTCAATGATCACACCAGCTCGAGCCCCAGCAGAGATAAACGTGCTCCCAAAAAATGTTTACACTATTTAAAATATATATATTTTATTGGGATTATTGGAACTGCAATTGCGAGACGATTTGCAGTAGAAGAGGGAACGATGATTTTCACATCATTGTTCTAGTACATAACTGTAAAAGTGTTTGGTATTTAGGGTGGTTAACGGCAGAAATTGTAGAGAAATATAATATTAATAAGTATGTTTTAATCTGTGGACAGTCACCTGAAAATGAAATAATTGTTGTGTGTTCTAAAGTCCCCCCCCCCCCCCCCAAACAGCACCATGTGTCTACAGCAGCACCCATGTGATGAATTCCTTTCACCATCTACTGTCTGAACTCTGTGAGCGTTTGTGTCTGTGTGTATTTGGGTCGTGAGGCAGTGAGTCTGCAGCACGATGCAAAAGAGAGAGATTGAGGAACCAGCTTTCCAAATCGACACAGAGTAACCTTTTAACGAAACGTCTTGCCTTGCATGTTTTTCATCTTCTGCAGAGGACAGTGTTAACCCTATCAGGCTGTGTGTGTGTGTGTGTGTGTGTGTGTGTGTGTGTGTGTGTGTGTGTGTGTGTGTGTGTGTGTGTGTGTGTGTGAGCATTACCTGTCGGCTGCAAAGCCCAGGCTGAGACAGCCAGTGAGGATGCCCAGGATGAAACACACCTCCTCTACTGGGACCAGCCAGTACTGACCGCACACCAGATCCCACTGAGCCGCACCGTGGGGCAGAGAGGGTGTGTTAGTATTACAGCAGATTAACTTCGATTAAACACTATTTATACTATGCAGTAATTATATTTTTTTTCAATCGATTTGTCAAATCAAGGTGAGAAATAAAAGAAAGGAGAGCAAATACGTTGAATGCTTCGTCTGGAAACGGGAAAAGAAAGTTTGCGGAAGCAACCGACTGTGACTTTAATTAGCAGCAGCACTAGTAAATATTGTTAGCAGAAGTGAGTCATATATATATGTTTTTTTTATAATTTAATTAATTGTTTTTAACAACAGATATCTGCCGTTTACATCCCATTAAGCCGACCGACTGATTTGCATTAACAGCTGAGCTCTGCTCTGCTGATGTCGAGTCTCGCTGGGAGCTAAATTACTATAATGATCCAGAGGGGGGGCGCATGGGGGCGCAGAAGGCCGCGGATAACAGAAAGAAAAGGGCCTTACATAATTACAGCCTTTGCACAGAAACATAAAAGCCTGTCACATGATATCAGCTGTCCTATTGCTGAGGAGCAGAGCCACAACGACGCCCGCCAGCCGGGGGAAAAGGGCGACATAGCAAACCCTGCTGCTCATACGGGGAGGGGGAGGGGGGGGGGGGTGCTTTGGACACCAGCAGGAGCCTGAGATGCAAACACAAAGCTCCCCAGACTGGTTTTAAGGAATGAGAGTTATGCACCAATCAGATCTTTCCCTTTGGAATCAAGTCGGACCGGTAGCGTTTCCTCCTCCCACGTGTTGTGAGTTACACAGCCGCGCAGGCAAAATCAGATTTAGTTGCGATTCAAAACTCGGATTGTGTCATTCAAGAGATGCCTGAGACAGGAGGAAGAATACAGATGTTGCCGAGTCACTTTCCAGCTCGAAAAAGCAATAACATCTTTATATGATCCGTGTACTAATGTCAATACCAGTAAATGACAACTATGACAACGTTACCCGGGATGGAAGAATGTACGTAATCTCCGGCTGTGTTATCGCCACACGGGCAGGAAGCCCTCCATCCGCCCTCCGAGCCGCAGCATCCACAGGAGTCGGCCTCCAGTGAAAGGCCACGGTATTTATTGATCAGCGGCGGATGCCGAGTCAATCAGAGGCCCCTCCTGCTTCCCAAATCAAGGATTTCACTGAGAAACACGAGCTCTGCCGGCCACCCAGACTACGTCCTTTCCTTTGCTTTAATCCTTTCAGAATCCTGTAGTTATGAGCGTAAGAGGTAAATCCACGGCAATATTTGTGCCGTTTCCTAGGGGACGGATAGAAAACAATGGCGACAAAACACTAACCACTCAACTTTAGCCAATTGTCAACCAGCCTGTGTGCGGATTAGATAAGAGGAGAAGAAAGTCACAGCGGAAACGTTCCCTGCAAAGTAAACAGGCAAGGTGCCCACAAGCAAGACGTGTCTGTTTATGCTTCATCCCATTAAGTAAGAAAAGCTCTCAGGCCTTTCGGAGCGACCTCCACCTCTGCCACCGCCTCAGCGCCAGCGGGGATTCTTCTTCCTCGGTGACGTCGGTGAAAAGACACGTTCCTGGATGAGTCACGGAGCGTTCTCCAACGTGGCAGCAGGGCCGTCCTGTTTGGGTGAGGAGCCACTTTGTGCCAAAATGTGCTGAATGCGGCGCCGCGCCTCCGGCCTGAAGGGTGTGGGAAGTTCACCTCGTAATAACAACACACGCGTAGGAAGGGAGTGTGTGTGTGTGTGTGTGTGGAATGACAGCTTCAGACTACAGGTATGACCCGCCCTGCCCCCCCCAACAAAAAGGTTCCTCGCACGTTCATTAATCAACCCGAAGCGGCTGCAGGAATTTTTTTCCGACCAACTTCTGTCTCCTCACAACCACAACAAAAGGTCCTTACAGGAGAAAGTCAGCTAAATGCTTTGAGGCTCCATAAACTGGGGGCCCGTGGCTCTCAGAGCCCCCCAGGAGAGGACTTCCTGCCCGACTCGACCGCTTAGAATCACGCTACAGTGGAGCATAGTGGGGCTGCGTGCTCAGCAAGACCCTCCTGTGTAAATGAAACAACCGCTTCAGTGTTCCACGGCCTTCTGCATCAACAAGAAGAAGCCCCCCCCCCAAAAAAAGAGCCCGTCCAGGGCCGTGTTTTAGCGGGCGGAGGCGCCTTTTACCTCGGTGACGATGTTGTTCCTCAGCCCTTCCGTCACGTTGTAGTCCCAGCCGGCCTCGCACTCCGCCGCCGCCGAGCGGCTGCCGTTGACGTACTGCCTGCACTGGGACAGGCTCCCGTTGTCCCCGGGCCTCCCGCCCTTCTCCCAGGGCAGGGAGGCCTTCAGCGCCTCGGGGGACGGCGGGGGCCCCGGCAGGTGGCAGTGGTGCGGCGGCGAGAGGGTGACCAGGGGGTCGGAGGAGAGCAGGAAGGCCAGGAAGAGGTTGGGCAGGATGGAGAGCGCAATCAGAACCCGCTGCTTCTTCCTGCCCAGAGCCAGCACCATCACGTCCCCCGTGGGGGGCAGCGAGGGCAGGGCGGGGAGGGAGGAGGCGGAGGAAGGGGCCGGGGAGGAAGGCATGGGGGAGGAGGGGAGAGACGGAGGTGGAGCAGGACACGGGGAAGGGGAGACCAGAGGAGGGGAGTCCGGGGATGTCATCGTTAGAGGCGTTTAAAAGGTGGAGGTGGTGGTGGTGGTGGAGGGGGGAGTTGTCTCAACAGTTGGTCCCCAGGCGGAGGGGGAGGAGACGTGGGGGAGCTCTGTGGAGGAGAAGAAGTACACTGAATTACTGTATGGCTGGATTCCATTTAGGACTTTCGCTGGGACGTTTCCCTTCGAGGGGACACGCCGGGGGACACGCCGGGGGACACGGGGACTGTTTAAGATACGGAGCAAATAACCATCTGAACAGAGGACACGTTGTAGCAGATTATTATTATTATTTACATAAATTATTTACTAATTACTAATTATTTATAAATTATTTACATAATTCAACCCAAAGAGCCAAAAAAAAAAACGACATAAAAAGTCTTGGGAGAGACGTGAAGTTATTACTTGATCACGACTTCATTTTACACTCAGTTTGATCCATAAAGGAGATTATTTCCCCTCAAAAGAGGACTTTATCGTCCCAAGTGTCTCTGTCGTTACGGGTCCATGTGGAGAAAAGTTTTCATCTTAAAGGCGGAGCAGATGGATGGACGCCCCCCAGGATAGGGGCTGTTCTCCCCCGGTGGGTGAGCGGAATGTGAGCGGCTCTCCTCAGCCTCCTCCGGCGGGGCTCCGGGGGCTTTTCCCCCGCACCGCGCCGCGAAGCGTCGCTTTAAAAGAGGGAGAATCTCACGGGGTTACATAAGAGCTTCTATAAGAGGGGGGGGGGGGTAACAAACAGGGGGCGGCTGTCCTCTGTGGAAGTACCAACACAATACAGACGGGAGGGAGACAGGGTGGGGGGGGCATCTGGACCGGGGGGGGAGACCCACCTGGCTTTGTTGTTGCTGCTGCTGCCGTTGCTAAATAGGTCAATTGGGTATATAAGGGAGGCAAGAAGTGATTGAGACGAAGGCTAGTAAGCTTTTGGTTCATTTAGAGACAGTGTCTATAGTGGATTCCAACTAAGTTCCCCTCAGACACCCCTGCATATTTTTGTTTTCCTGTTAATATAACTGGCCAGTTTGTACTCAAGTGCATGTATCGTGTTAACATCCACAATATT